TTGTGGTAGAAAACTAGAAAACAGAAGTTGCAATTTTTTTGATTTTTTTTAAAATTGTTTTTCTAAGTGAACATGAAAACAAATACAAACATGTGTTCTTAATTATCCTCCAACATGTATTAAGACTTAATACTTACCCCCCAACTTAAAAATAACATTATCTTCAATAACAGAAAAATCAGAACAAAATATGTAGAAAATATAGTTTTCAAAGTTAGTATGCATATATGTCAAGTTAAGTACTAAAAATGTTATCATAAATGATAAAGTTTAAAAAAACATCACATGAACCTCATTTTCAATTTTCCACTTCATCTTACACTCCTCTATGGTGATGGCTGATGTTGAGCTGCCATCAATTATTCATCTAGAAATACATCTTATAAAGGTGCCACATTTATTCCTATATCACTCAGTCTAAAAAGATGGTTAACAACAACATTCTCAAGACCTTTTTTATCTTTTATTTCTAAGTCAAATTTTTGTAACAACAAAATTCATTTTAATAAATATGGCTTTGTATCTTTCTTATTTAATAAATATTTTAATACTACATAATCAGTATAAATAAAATTTTAACTCTCAAAATATATGATTTAAATCTTTCAAACGAAAATAATACAACTAGCAACTCTTTTTCAGTCATGGTATAATTTAATTGAGCATTGAATATAGTTTTACTAGCATATGAAATTACTATGAGGTTTGACTCTTTTTTTTGTCCTAGAATGGCTCCCGCTACATAATTTGATGTATCACACATTATTTTAAAAGGAAGAGACCAATTACTAGCTTGTAAAATAGGTGCCTCAATATGTAATCTTTTTATTTCAGAAAAAGATTCAGAATATTACTCATCAAAATTAAAAGGCACATCTTTAGATAATAACACGGTGAGAAGGTTTAGAAAATTTTGAAAAATCTTGAATAAAGTTTCTATAATAATGTACATAACCTAAGAAAGATCTAATCTATTTTACTAAATTTGGAAGTTTCATTTTAGATGTAGTATAAATTTTGCTCTATCCACCTCTAAACCCTTTTTACTCACAATATGACCTAACACAACTCTCTCTCTAAATATAAAATATGATTTTTCTCAACTTAATTTTTTTTTTCTCTATATATTTTTCAAGTATATGTTATAAATGATTTAAGCATTCTTCAAATGATTCACCAAAAATAGAAAAATCATTCATAAAAAATTTCATATATTTTCTAGTCATGTCAAGAAAAATAGATAGCATACATCTATGAAATGTGACTAGAGCATTATAGAGACCAAAAGGCATAAGTTTAAAAGAAAAGTATCAAATAGAGAAGTGAAAGTTATTTTTTCTTGATCTAAATGATTTATATACATTTGATTATAACCAAAGTATTCATTTAGAAAATAATTTTTTTTTCAACTAATTTTTCTAGAATTTGATTAGTAAATGGTAAGAGAAAATGATATTTTCTAGTAACTGAATTTAATTTTTTATAATCAATGCAAACCCTCCAACTAGTAGTTAATCTTATTTGTATTTTATCTCTATTTTTTTTTATAATCGTGATCTTTGATTTTTTTAGCACCACTTGTGTAGGACTAACTCATTTGCTATCAGAAATAGGATAAATAATATCAGCAGCCAGCCACTTTAATTTTTTTTTATAATTCCCATCATGTTAGGATTTAACCTTCGTTATGGTTCCCTGTTAGTTCTTGCACCTTTCTCTAGATATATACTATGCATATATATATTCATACCAATGCCCCTAAGATCATGTATTTTCTGCCCAATAGTCTTCTTATTTTTTCTAAGTATATTTAATAATTCTTCTTCCTATTCATCACTCAAATCAATTATAATAATAATAAGAAATAAATTATTTTCCTCCAAAAATATATATTTTAAACTAGAGGGAAGAGGTTTCAACTTTAAATTCGGATGATCTTTTTCTCTCTTTTCTCTCAAATTTATATTCTGTATTTTCTTTAACTCTTCCAACACACAATCATCAATAACATCTAGATCATCAAAATCATCTAAAATATCTATAATATGACAATCATGTACTTGTGATTTCTGAAGATCATTTGATACTTCCAAAATTTTAATTTCTAATGATTGATTTCTATATTAAAATTTTGCAATGCTTATGAGAAAATTAATATTCATCTTTATTGTATGTAAAAATGATTTCTCTAGGATAATTGTTGTATCATAAAATTTTCTATTAAAATCTATTTCTAACACTACAAAATCAATTAGAATTTACACTCTTTAACTGTTACTATCATATTTTCTAGAATATTTTAAGGATGTTTTATGGATCTATCAGCAAATTGTAAGGTAATAGTAAAAGGTTTAAGATCAGAAATATTAAATTTATCATAAATACTTACAGGTAAGAAATTAATACTAGCATTAGTGTCAAGTAATGCATTCTAAAAAATAAATTCATCAATATCATATGAAATTAAAGGGATATGAATATCTCTTAATTTGTATAGTAATTGATTTAGTAATAAAGCACTAGCATGCATAGATAATTTTTCTATTCTAACTTTTTTAGCATACACATTTCTTTCAAAACTCTAGCATATTTAGGAATATTTTCAATGATAGTGAGTAAGGAAAGACTAGTTTGCACATCTTGTTATTATTTTTTTATTTTTTCATTATTTTTTTTTCTTTCTTTATTTAGGCTCTAGAGCTTTAGAAAATAGAATGGTTGTTTTCTCTTTCGAAATTATTTTGGTAGAATTTATAAAATCCTATTCTACTCCCATTTGATTTTATTTTAGGCTGTCCATGTTTTCCTTTTCTTCTAATATTTGGGGATAAGGATTAGGTAAAATCTTCCCACTCTTTAATAGATTCACTATCCAAATATTTTCATTTCATGAATTTTTTCTTAGATTAATGGTACTAGACTTTTTTACTGAAATCTTATTATTGAGTGGTTTTCTTGATTTTCTATGGGCTGACTAGATAGTTGTCCCTCTTCTTTCTTATTCTCTAGAGTCTCTATAATTTGTTTTTGCTGCAACATTATTTGATTCATAATTTACTACATCATTTGGCTCATTTATTACATCATTTCTATAGCATCAGGTTGGGTTTGAGAGGACTATTTTTTTTAAATCTATTTTTCTATTTTAAATTTAATTCAAATTTTGAATTAGGTCTAAGTGCTTTTGAATTTTGAATATTATTTGGGTCTCTTCATGAACAATTATTCCTCCAATTAGAATTATAAGAATTAGAAAAAGGCTTCCTACTTTTATTAAAATCATGAGCTACTTATACTTATTCTTGCATAAGGTGAAATGATTGATCTAAATTATAAAATTAAAATTCAGAATAACTATTTTCACTATATATAGGACATGTACTATTTGAATTAAATTAAGGATTAAGAGGCTTTCTAATATTGTCAATAAGTAAATCAATTTTTTTTAATATTTAATTAATTTGATTAATCTCATTTCTTAAATTAGAATTATTTAGATGATGTAATTTGTAAATTCTTCTCTTTTTATCCCTATCATATAACTCAAAAGAGGTTTAATCTCTAGAATTTTCACTTAAATTCTCATAAAGGTTGTAAGTCTCATCATGGGTTTTTTTTCATAAAAGTTTTTCCACATATAGAATTAACCATATTTCTATGTTGTTCTAATAATCTATCATAATTTTTTTTGTTGAGCTACCATTTGGGTATAACATGATGATAACACTTTTTAAGTAAATCTTTGAATTTTTTTCATGTCTCATGAAAATTTTCTTTTGATCTTTGAGAAAAACTCTATATATGTCTCATATTTTAAGTTTTTTCTAAGAGAATTTTTTGAAGAAAAGCTTATTCTATGTCTTCTCAGCTTGCTAATTCTCTATTTAATGTGAATAACCAATAACTAGCTTTGTCCCTAAGTGTGTGAAGAAATAATTTCATCTTAATAATCTTGTGTAACTTGAAGGAGATTAATTAAATCACACACTATATTTTTTTTTTTAAATGTTGATGTGATTCTTATAAAAGAATGTATGAAAATTAGGGAGCATTTGAAACATTTCTAGATTTATTTTGAATTTAATAGTGAGTGCTAATGTGGGACTTAAATATTGGATGCTCTTTGAAATGAATTAGGGATATAATAATTTTTCATGACCATATGATTGTTCTTAGTTTTGTACTTCCTTCAAGATCTATCAAAATTAATTTTTCTTTTAGATTTTTAGTTTTGAATGAAATAGTAAAAAAAAATTTGAGCCCTAGATGTAAGAATCTTCTACCATACATAAAAATCAATAAATTCAAGAAAAAAATTTAATAACTATTACCCTCCTTTAGTATGCTCCAGTCCTTACCTTTCTACTCTTCATTCTTTTTTTTTTCTACAAGAAGAAAATAAAAATAAGAGTTAATTTTTTTTGTGTACTTTAAGAGAAAAATAAAAAAAACTGAATATTATATAATACATCCTCAACAATGGTATCAAAATTTGATGTGATTCAGTCATTGTATAGTAAATCCATAAATTTAAAATTTATAAAACTAGAAAATACTAATTTTTAAATATTTATAAGTATTTCTAATGAAATATATCAATTATATTTAAGAAAAGTTTTAAAATAGTAAAAATTTTCTAAGTTGATCACAAGAATGTAATATAATATTGGATAATTTTTCAAAATCTTTCTCAAAGAATATATAAATTTTAGATTAATAAATTAAAATAAAATATATTTAAAATTCACAAAAAAAGAAAATAAGGGTGCAGATGTTAGGATGACATCAGCATATGATGAACACGAATCAGACAATAATAAAGTTTCACCTAATAATTTTTACATAAGTGATTATAGATGATTTAATTAATCAAATTTAGATATATAAAAGCTAAAATAATTATAATTAAATAAAGAGTAATTTAAAAAACTTTAAATTACACAAATTAAGTTGAAAGTAAGAAAATAAAGTTCCGATGTTGCGATGCCAATACGTTAATAATGTACCAGAATTTTAAGTGTTTCGAAAGATTGTTATGTACTGTCTATGACCTTGAAGGCTCTTTGTGGATAAAGACGACGTGAGCAATCTTTAGCTCTTCGTATAAAGTCTAAAGATCAATGAAATGGGTCGTTGAATCATCTCTAATAGTTATCATTCGGTGGAGCAAAAAAATGATAACTTTGCCACTTTTCAGCAGCTGCCACCCAATGAAGAAGAGTTAGATGAAAATGGGGCGTGTGCTAGAGAGCTTTATCCTCAAGTCTACATAATAAGAGGAGGCTCTTCATCGCATCTAGTATGCTCTCAAGAAGTAGCGACTCACCTTCTAACATATCATCCTCTTTTCAATGACGACTTGTTCATTTATCAATTGAAGAACATTTACTTGATGAATTCACGATCATTTTATCACGGATTGTTCAAAAATTTTAGGTAGCAATATTTCGCAAATCATGTTGACGAGATATTTGCCAATGTCTAACAATTTTAGCAGCCTAAACCTTCATCGACGATCTACAAGAAAGTCACAATAATTAGATAAAAGTACGAGCTTTAGCTCTAGGAGGATTCAAACCCACACCAATCACCTATCTACATGAGAGAGATTAAAATAAGTACTATAATGCCCTTATAAAGTGACGTCACATGATATATCTCTATTATAACTAAGGGGTAATTTAGTTATTAAAATATTTGAAGCCTTTCTAAGAAAGTGTGACGTGGTTTAGTCCTAAATCAATTGTACGTCAAAGTTTTGGATGAATATATAGTAATATTATATTTCTAAGTAATGAGTTCCTTTTTTCCGCATGTACAATCATTCCTTGCCTCACAGTCAGCTGGCCACTAGTGACATGGAAGGAAAGTGGCGCACAAGTGCCGTCATCGATATATAGTCGCTCAAGCCCTTACTCGTAGCTTCGCCCCAACTACGCTTCTAACCCATTTGTGGGCCCAATTGGCCAACGAGTCAACCCCTTTTTCTATTCTTTTATTTTCTTTCTTTTTCTTTATTTATTTAAAATATAGAAATATAAAAATTATATAAAATCATATAAAATCACATAATTAAACAAAAAATTACATTAACTAACTAAAAATTGTTTTTCACGAATTAACATAAATATAAGTTTATTTATTATGAGTTAAGGCTAAAATTATATTATTTATTAATTATTAACTCATGATAATGAAAACTTATTAACAGTGCAACTTACTTGATTGGCATACATCTTCAATGGCCATTATTATGTGTTATAGATATCTAACAAACTCTTTCTTACATTTCATAGTTTCCTCCATCACCTCTCAGAAGACCCACTCAACCTTCAAGACCCCTCATATATAACATGGTTGTAGCTTGACTTGGCCATCATCATATGGATACTTCAAAGAATTGAGCTCAATATTACTGAGCCACTAGCATGCATCACCTCAGCCCGTCTATTGTGACTCACTATGGAGATCATGTATGTCAACTAGACAAACATCAGTCGAGTTGTGGAGATCTTCGAGTCTCTTCTCTCTTATAAATAAGACAATCTCTCTCTTCAAGCCCACTACGGTCACCTCTAGACCTTCATTCAAGAGGTTGATATCTATCAGCCTCCTACTATTGACCTCTTGACCCTCTAGTGTTATCACTAGGACTTTTTTGATGAAGCTTATCTCAGTGGACTTCATTCATCTATCACATCTCAGATCTGGGGGCTATTCTCTCTAGAGATCGTGTGCCTAATCTTGCCTCTATCTTCTTGGTGACCCTTCGGGTCGCCACTAGTATACTTGTTTACTCCACTTCTTCTTCTCTAAGAGCAACCTCTACTCCTTTGGCTATTGCCATTGCTCCTCTATGGGCTCGAAATGATATTCTTCTTTTCCACTTTGACGGTGGTCATACTCCTCGCGGACATGGGTGCAATACCTTTCCTCTATGTTCCTATTGTGGGAAGTAGAATCACCTAGCTACTAAGTGTTGGAAGTAATTCAATAAGCTCGCTTTCATACAATCAGTGATAACCTTTCACTATACTTTCTAGGATCTACATACTAGATGGAGGATTGATTTGGGCTGTGAAAATGGGTGGGGTGTCTACGAATTCATTTATGACAAACCCTCATCTAGCCTTCAGGCCCTTTTTATCATCTCTACGGCTACTTTTTATCTTTTGTGACATCATCGTTTAGGTCATCCTTATTTTTTAAAATTATAAAAAATATTACTGTGACTTTCTATCTCTAAGTTTGTGTGTGAGTCTTATCAGTTGAGCAAATATTATTATGCTTCTTATCTTAGTTGTGATGACATCCCCTCTTTCGTTCTTTTTGACCTTCTCTAGTATGATATATGGGGTTCATCTCATACTTCTTCTATTTCGGGTCATCGTTATTACACTATTTTTATTCATGATTATACTCGTGTGAATTGGGTCTACCTCCTTTGCAACTACTTTGAGGTCATCACCATGGTTATCTACTTCATCATCGAAGTTATTACCTAATACACAACTACGCCCAAGATTCGTCCTATTGATAACACTCTTGAGTTTGTCTAAGTGTCTTTTCGCACTTTCTGTAATAATTGTAGCATCCTTAACCAGACCACTTGTCCCCACACTTTGTAGCATAATGGTGTTGTTGAGCGCAAACATCGTCAACTCCTTGACATCACTTGCATATTTCTTCTTGAGATAAATGCCCTCTACTATCTCTAGGCTGATGTCTTTTTAACTATCACTTATTTCTAAAATCGACTTCCCTCTGCTCCTCTTGGGAGGACCATTACTCTTAATCACTTAATTTCTCATTTTCTTCTTTTTTCTCTTCCTCCTTAGGTCTTTAGATACACCACTTTTGTCTAGAATTCTTTTCCTTCTCTTTCTAAACTCACTACTTGTGCTCTTAAAGGGGTCTTTGTCGACTACTCTTACACGCAAAAGTGCTATTGAGTCTACATTCTCAATATCCATCACTATGTGACCTCGGCCGACATTACTTTCTATGAGGAGTCTCTTTTCTTCTCTTTTATTTTGACTCCTCCTCCTCCTAGGGCCACTACGTCTCCTCCACTTGGGTTCCCTCCCTTAGTAGTTTTTATGGACCCTCCCTCTTCTCTTCCCTCCTATGCACTCTCTTTGGAGTTGTTGCTTGCACTCGCCTCTTTTTGGCCCATGTCTCCCATAGCTCTAGATATAGTATCCTCCTCTTCCTCTCTTACAATCCCCTCAGCATCTTCGGTTGCTACTCCACCTAATGACCTTCATCTCCCTATTGTCCTCCGCAAAGGTACACATATCTACACTCACCATCCCATCTCTTAGTTTGTCTCCTATGATCATCTTTCTTCTTCTTTTCATACCTCTGTCTTCTTTGTGGCCTCCAAGTCACTTCCAAAATCGTATGTTGAGGCTGCATAAGTACTTATGTGGAAGGCAGCCATAAATTCAGAGGTAGCTACGTTGGTCATTTGAGAGACTTTGGATTTAGTTTTACACCTGACCAATGTCAACATTGTGATGTGCAAGTGGATGTTTATCATCAACTATCACCCGAATGGTTCTATCACTTATCACAAAACTCGTTTGATTGCTTGGGGTTTCACGTGCTCCTCTCTCTTGCTATCAATCAGACATGGTCTCTTCACTAGTTAGATATTTCTAATATCTTTCTCTATGGTGATCTCATGGAGTAGGTCTTATAGAGCAACCTCCTAGGTATGTTGCTTAAAGAGAGTCATCAAAGATGTGTCTCTTGTGGCATGTCACTTATGGGCTCAAGTAGAGTCCACGAGCTTGGTTCGTCAAATTTAATAGTTTACACACTACCTTTGGCTTTGTTTCCTACACTACAGACCCCACCGTGCTCACGAAGAAGATAGAAGACGGTCTTAACATTCTTGTAATTTATGTTGACAATATTTTTGTGACTAGAAGTGATGAGGCTAGTATCTCTACTACCAAAGCTTACTCGTAGTAGTACCTCAACATTTGTAACTTGAGGACTCAGCATTATTTCTTTGAGACTAAGTTTACATATCAGGATAAGAAGTTTGCCCTCACTCAGTAGAAGTATGTTCTCGACATGCTTCAAGAGATAGGCCTCATTGGGTGCAAGCCAGAGACTTCACTTATGGAGGCTCGCCTGCAATTTTTAGACACTTCATCTCCTTTACTCGAGGATGCTAACTAATATCGATGACTGTTGGGCAAAGTTGATATATCTCACCGTCACTCGCCTTAACATCATGTACATGATTAGTGTCTTGAGTTAGTTCATGTAGGAGTCTCAATACATTCATTGGGAGGGAGCTCTACAAGTCTCTACCTACATCACGTGATCCCCAAGAAAAGGGCTCATCTATTGGTGACAAGGCCATCTCTGCATTACAACCTACTTTGACGTCAAGTATGAAGGTAACAAGGGTGAACGAAAATTTACTATGAGTTATTACACATACATTGATGGTAACCTAGTCACTTAGTGGTCTCGGAAATAGAGGGTGGTGTTTTACTCTAGTACAAAATCCAAGTATCGAGTCATAGTTGAGACAATGTGAAAAATGATATGGCTTTGATCACTTCTCAATGATCTCGGTATTGCTTCTCTCTCTCCAATGCCCATGTATTATGACAATCAAGCTGCCATCTTCATTGTTGACATCTTACCTTTTATGAGTGTATGAAGCACATTGAGATCAACTATCACTATATTTAAGATAAGGTTATGTCTTGATTTATCTCTATTAGTCATGTGACATCATTTCATTAACTTGTAAATATCTTCACAAATAATTTAGTTAACATCTCCTATGATACCACGTGTACCAAGTTGGACATGTTTGACTTATATGCTCCAACTTTAGGAAGAGTGTTTGATAGTGGTATTGGACTTTTAGCCTACTAAGGCCCATTATCTATCTCTCTCTCTCATCTCTCCTATATAAGAGTCATGTATTCTATCTTTTTAGATTATATGGATTTTAGGATTTTTCTTTCTCGTGTTAATAGAGAGCCTATTTTGATGATTAAAAAATAAATAAAAGGGTAAAAAGGTAATCTCAAAATTTTAAAACTGTAACTCT